ATACAATGCTCACTATAGAAACAACATCAGATGATCCAGAACATTGGCAAATTCCTCCATCCTGTCACAGAGAATCCTAGTGATCTTTTTAAAATATAAATCAGAACACAGAACTCTCCAGGTAAAAATCCTAAAATAGTGTCTCACTGCACTTAGAATAAATAAAAAGGTCCCTCTGTGCCTGACCTCATCTACCACTGCAAACCTGCACACCTTTACTCCAACCACTCCAGACTTTCTGGTTTGTCTGTTGTTGAGTACACCATACTCATTCCTGCCTCAAGGCCTCTATTCTTGCTTTTTGCTCAACCTAGAAACCTTTTTGCCCAGATCTTCTCTCTGGCTAACCCTCCAACTTAAAACGGCTTTCCCATACTTCACCTTACCCTGCTTTATTTTCAAGGTAGCACTTATTATGTGAAATTATCCTATTCATTTCTTTACCTGCCTTTGTTGTTTATTGTCTATCTCTTCTCAAAAGCACAGAAGCTCCATGAGTCAAAAGATGTATCTGTGTCATTCATCTCTGGAACCTACCACTAAGAATACTTTCTAGCACAGAATATACTTTTTGAATAAATAAATTAGCTCAAGTCATAGCAGCATACAGCTATATCGGTGATTTAGAAGTTCAGATTTATTTCAGCTTCACAGTTATGTAAAACCATAGTCTTAAATTTTACAAAAGGCCCCTCTTTTTCCTACCTGAAAACACAAGATAGAGCTTAGTTCTGCATACAGGATTATCTGCTTCATTTTAAAGCTGACAAAGAATCTGTTTTTAAGTGAATGCTAGTTTTCCGATCCCAACAAATGGCTTTCAAGGAAGTATAGCATCAATAAAAGGGGAAATTCAACTGTCCAATTTTGAAACACACAAATTCTTGAAATCAGTATTAATATCACTGCCTCTCAAATACTACTACTAACCATCAACTGTTAAAGCTCTACAAATATGGAAGAGAACATAGGGTGGGAAAAGGAAGCCACGTTAAGTCAAATTTCTTGTAGAGATGAAAAAGATGATAACAAACATCAGTGTTATTAATTATCTAAGCACAAATGGATCCTCTCTGAAAGGGGTCTGAGTAAAATCACTGCGTGGCTACCCAAGTTCCCTTCAAGGACCCCTGGCTGAAGAAAAGCTGTAGCCACTGAGCCACAGGAGAGCTCACAGCAGCTACCAAAACTCTAGTGACTAAGGACGTCTAACAACTAACCACCTCCTCACAACATGACTTTTGCTCTCGGATTTTCACAAATGTGAATCCATTCAGAGCTCTTCTGGCATAGCAGTGTCTCACCGGTCCTTGAAAACATGCTAAAGACAAATATCAGAACCTCAGAAAACATGGGCCCTTCTTAGCCACTGCACCTTCTCTGTGGTGTGAAGTAAGACCACCCACCCATAGTGTGGATTGCCGAGTTTTCTGGCTGAGCCGTGGAAAAGAAAAGGAGTTGCTTTTGTAGTTTTTCGTCACTGTGAATATGAAATACCTATTAATACTAAGGGGAGCTTTATATGAGTCCTGGGTTGAAATTATACCTTCAAACCATGAAAAAGTCATCTCAACTGAACTTGGTGGACTCGCCCCTGTATCACAGGTGTGTAAGAAAAGGATTGGGGCCATTCAATCACAGAATGTTTCCTTCTAGATTTTATTTGAACGCAGTCATGGCTTAGCAATTTCAAAAGTATATGTGGTATAATGTTTTCATCCTCTTACTCTCTGACAAAATATTTAAATTCAGATGTTTCTGTAAAAGACCAAGACTTCAAAATCAGAAATCAAAGCAGCCAAGTATATTTAAAGATGATAGGCAATAGATGGTGCTAAAATGATTATAATACACTTTAGTAATTAACCTTAGGCCAAATTCCACCAGAAGACCTGTGGGATAGATTTTCAGATAAACTAGTTAAATAATGAGTATCTATCATGTAAGTGATAACCAGATAAGCAGTTACTAGGTTATGTGAGCCATAAGTGTCTCCTGAGAATCTCTAAAATATTTCTACACCTACTGTATCCACCGAAACCTACAGACTGCAATTTCACTTAAGGGTGGACATGTAATTGAGATATTATTGCATTATTGATAAATCTGAAAAAAATCAACTCCTTTTAAAATCATTGTACCACAAAGCACAGTACTTCTACAAGAGGTAAAACTGTTAGAGGTAAAATGATGAAAAAAACTTTCTTGTCCTCAAAGCTGATTCTGTGCTCACATGAAATCTAGAACTAAAGGTACTGCATTTGATGAGCACCCATCTCACATGTAAATTTTTTAAAATAGAAAAGGAATATAGGAAAACAAGTCAATCTAAGGTAATCGGGGAAGATAACTAGAAAATATTTTTTTAAAAAAATACTCCCTAGCAACAAAATAGAAGAGATTATTTACGTAGATTTACAACTAGATGAGCTCCAGATGTATTTTTTTATTCTACTTCTCCACAGGTGTTTTTCGGCTTAATAAATATAACATCCAAGTTGGAATATTGTGAAGCACTGAATCACCTAAATTTTGGCTATGCTCTTTTGCTGTTAACTATTTTGAGCTATTTCTCAATAAGGCAGCCGCTACTGAAATCTTAAGTACATAGGCTTGGCAGAGCCAGAAAGAAAAAGTGCAGTCCACAGATTTGTTTCTTCTGTTTTCCCAAAACAGAATCTCATAAAAAATATGCCCTCAAATTTTGTCACTATGTAGCTGTCAGAAAGAGCAATTCTGTTCCTCTTCATAATTCTGAACGTTAAACTCGTTTCTTGTGCTACTGGGAAGTTATACAGCTCCAGGAAGTCGCAAGGCACCATCACAACTGCTCAAATTGTATCCAGGCAGAATAATCAGTCAATCAGAAATTTTGGTCCCAGTCAGATGGAAGTTTTTTGGGCCAACTTGGACAAGCACACAGGACAAGTTCGACTTTACTGCCAAGATCACTTCCAGGACATTGGCTAATTAATTATAAAAGCTTTTTCAAAACAAATTTGAGCCTGGTAACCTTTTTTTCCTACCCAAACAGAAAGAAAGGAAAAAAAAAAAAAAAAAACAGGTTAAGAAATAAAAGCCCAGGTTTACCATAGCTTCTTTCATCTTATTTTCAAGTCGATTTTCTTTTTCTTGTCCTAAAATGATCCAAGAGCTCTTTTTTGTATTTGAAGCAATAGCAGGTATAGGAATAGCAGGTATAGAAACTGGAAATATTAGTTTAAATTCCTACTCTACCATTGGTTGTAGAAGAGAACATGGGTGAGTTACAAAGTTTCTCTTCAAACTGTTTGGTAGAAAGCAAAGAATGGAGTTTCTTCCTCTTTTGGGGAGGAAGAACTGGACTCATTAGATTACCTACAGCTACTGTCACAGATACAATTTAAATAGAGAATTGCTCTTATAATGATTATTCATCAACCTTCGTTTACTAGCTTGGGAAACAAAAGGAACAAAATTCCTGAATTAAATCTTCTTGGCTTCATCTTCATGCAAACATTGATGACTATGAGATGCTAGTAATAGGTATCAAAGATTCTGGTTTTAAGAATCTCCAATCACATAGGTTTTGTAGCAAAATCAATACCCAAAATCATAATGTTCCAACATAATACTAGAAACAAAATCTTATATTATATGCATCTTAAGCCATCAAACTTCTTCTGCATATGCCCAGCTATAAAGAGGTCTAAGAAGGTCAGAAATTTCTCTCAGCCCACATTTGCCAGCTGCTTGGTGAAAATTCCTGGCAAGAAAAGAGCTGTCCCTAATAAAAGAAGGTTTTCTCAAAAAGTCTATCAACCAGATATTCCTAACCCTACTTACTGCACTGCTTTATCCAGATCAAGACCCCTGGCAGATCTCATAAATAATCAACATTGCTGGATAAATTCTGAGTGGAGCCATAATGTGCAAAATAGCTTTGAGGGAAATTCTAGTGGCCTGAGTTCTCCCTTTTCCACTACTGGTATACACCTACCAGTATATCCAATATTTAAATGATCTTCTCCCTAATCATTTCAAGTGGTAGGCAGATAGGAGGGAAAACAATCTATATCAGCATTTCAAAGAGGAACAGCTAAAGAACTCAAGAATTAATCTCAATGTAAAGGGGAAAGAAAGTAAAGAAATTAGTCCTGATCCAGAGAGTCCCTCTCCTGGGGAACACAAATGAATAAATGAAGATAAGAAGGATAGCACCAGATTTCAGACAGCTAGCCAGTTTTGGAATGAGAACCAAGACCAGATTTTCCTGCTTCACATTCCTTGCTCTTTCCAACATATGCCACTTCTCCTACAACCTTGGTGAAACAGGCTAGGATTTCTGTCATTTTTTTAAACACACTGCTTTCATTTCTTTGAAGCTTTGAGATTTTCCATTAAGGAAGCATTCTTTTATAAATATTAATATACTATATTCTTGAAATATAATCTCCTTCCACAGACACCTACCCAGCTGGGAACACAGCCCAGTTTCTACCATATTCTTTTCAAAAGAAAGCAAACAGAAATTCAAAATCTGATTGCTTCATTTCACATAGGCTACTTAATTATATGTTTCAATAGACCAAAAAAATATACAGCTAATGAGACAATTTAGTTTTCATTACAAGTATCCCCCAAAAGTTACCAACTGCCAGCATTTCTTAGCCCTTTATAGTTTACCAAATCACTTTTTCATAAATTATCTCATTTAATCCCCACAGCAAACCTAGGGCAGAGATCATTACTATTTTAAAGCTGAGACAACTGCAGGTCCGAGATTTAAATTGCCCCAGTGAATGCATCTCTAAGTACTGGAGGAGACCCAAATTCTTGTCTGCTGATGCCAGCTCTCTTCACAGACTGCTTCCCCTTCCCTCAGAGAAAGCACAAACTCCCATCTGCACAGAATGGGCCATTATAAGTGAGGCAACCATCATTGCTAATCTTTTCCCAGCTAATCTTTTCTTAGACATACATTGTCTTGCATTTCAAAGAAGCAAGCATTCTTTGCTTACCTGGTCCTTCTCTGGTTTATCAGAAATGTCATTCAGACTGGAGGAAGTCAGATTCCTATGGGTCATGGCTGGGCTACCTGGAAAAACACAAGTGAACTCTAATTAAAGACTTCTTTTCAAAAACACAAAGACCAGTTGCATACTTCATAAATGCTAGTAAATGATGATGAGAATGGCGATGGTGCTTTTAATCATGTTAGGATTTTCCTGAAGAGTTTTCCAGAGCCCAGGTTGGAGTACAAACATGGTTAAATGGAAAGTATGTAAAATCCCAAATAGCTGTATAAGTCTTATTGCCTGATTCTGTTTCGAGATAAGTTAAACTTTGAAAGGAACTCTTAAAACAACAAGCATGAACATAAATATACTCCTGGTTTGGTTCACCTTTTCTCTCTACCCTTCACACACATGCTAATCTACCTGGGTTCTTTTCTTCTTCCTGTCACCTGCAGAGATCAGCTCTTTCCTCAGTAGAGCTGGCCTTGGATGCAGGCCCAGACTGTCTCTCCCCAGGCCTCCACAGCCCTTCCTAGAGCACCATTCTGAACAACCCCCAAAGCTACCTGCATTCCCTTCTCCGGCTAACACTTTTATATATACATAACTAACATTTATTGAGTGATTATCATGTGCTAAGCATTTTATATGATCTCTCCCAGTTAGCATTTTTTAAACCTATTTATTTATTTATTTTAATTGACACACTGAAATTGTACATGCTGATGGTACGATCTGATGTTTTGATACATAAATATGTTGTATAATGATTGGGTCAAGGTAGTTAATGTAACCATTACCTCAAACATTTATCATTTCTTTGTGGGGAAAACATTTAAAAGCCTCTCCTCTAGCTATCAAGTAGTATACAAAACTTAACTGTTAACCATAGTCATCCTACTATGCAATAGAAAACCAGAACTTATTCATCCTATCTAAATATAATTTATTACCTCTTGTCCTGCTAATACTTTGATCAAGAATATTTCTTTGTAGTGGGCATCTGATCTAGAATCCCCATTCTTTGCCTCAAAGAAGTGTTATCCCAGGCTCCCTTACTACTCTGCATTCCCATTTGCCAAACTAAAATAAGCAATATCTTCCTGGCAATATAGCTGCTGTAAATAAAATTCACTGGCCATCCACCCAATGATTTCCAACCCTGTTACACATGAATAGAGAGAAGGGACATCCAAAAGAGATATAGACTATTTTTAAGTAGACCATGTTAATCAACAGAACACTTAACTTTCATTCTCCAGTTGGACCTGAAATTTCTAGGCTTAGTAAGCAAAAGAATAACTAGCCAGGGTGTTTGACCCAACCCCTGCAGGGTGCTGAGTAATGAATTAATCATTAGTCCTCAATGATCTGACTCAGGCTGGTCTTCACAGTAAGGGGACAAGGGTTGAAAAGAAGCACTGAAGTTCGAAGACAGCTTCATATTTGCTTCCAAAAGATTCTTTAGATTACAGACTTTAATTCCTTCAGATAGAATCTTCAACACACAATTTTACAAAAGACTAAAATCTACTCCTAATAAGTTAGTCTATATAACAGCATCTCTTTAAGTAATATAATTGCCTTTAACAACTAGATCAGAAAAATCATAATTTTTTTGAGCTGCCAAGACAGGATATTTTCCACTCTGCTGCATTTCACTGAGTGAGCACAGCCCAGATCTCTTAAATCCTTTACCTGGTAGGGTGTTTTATTCTAGGAAAATTTGAGCACAAAGCATTATTCAAAGGAAAGTAACATCTGAAAAAATGCTTTAACAGCAAAATTAAAAGAACCCCTTTGAAGTCCACATTTTCTTCTTTCAACCGCATCCTAGATTTAAAGTGTCCACTCAATACAAAAGACACCAGGTAAAATACGAATGCCCTCAAATAATGCTGAGATTAAAACTAATAGAAAATGATGAGTAGGTATAATTTTGCACTTTACATTTAATAACATAACTAGTTATTTGGACAAACTGGGTGAAAGTCTGCCTGAATAAGTGAAGAAATCTGGTACTATATATTCCTAAAGCAACAAAGTCTCAGCATAAGTTAAAAGCTGCTTGTGTAAATGAATAGGTAATACTGATTTCTAACCATCAAATCAATTGTATGTAAGTGGCAGTATTGAAATAATCCGAAGGCAGGTTATCATTAAGTAATTAAAATTTCCTGGGCAATAGCCTAAACTCATTGATTTTCTTTGGAAATTCTTTATAATTACTGCAAAGGTACATTTCAGCCCAGATATTGTCCTAACTGCTGCAACATCTTAACAGATAGAAGCCAAATGAATAACATCTTTATTATAATGATAACCTTGATTGATGTTCCAAGAAACCACATACAGTGCCTCATCATTTCTGAAAGACAGTTGTAGTATGGTGCTATGAGTCAAATGTGTCCCCCAAAAGTTCACATATTGGAAATTCGATCTCCACTTAGCAGTGTTAAGAGGGTGGGAAATCCAATTATAGTATTTGAAAAGTGGGGCCTTTGAGAGGTGATTAGATTGTGAGGACTGTACCCTCATGAATAGATTCATCCATTCATGAAGTAATGAATTATCATGGGCATGGTTCTGATGGCTTTATAAGGAGAGCAAGTGAGAAGGTTAGCTCTTTCTTGCTCAGGCCATTCTCGCCATGTGATACCCTTCATTGCTATAAGAAGTCAACACTGAGAAGAAGGGCTTCTTCAGATGTATTCCCTGGACCTTGGGCTTCCCAGCCTCCGAACTGTAAGAAATAAATTTCATTTCTTTATAAATTACCCCGTTTCAGGTGTTCTGCTATAAACAACAGAAAGAGACTAACACATATGGCTATCTATATTTATACTATAAACGGGGGGCAGAGGAAGTCACAGGTCAAAGGAAGATGGAGAAATCAGATGGAGAAGAGAAGACTGATGTTAAGAAACAATCAGATCTATTGACCCTCCTAATCTTGTAATAAAAGTAATTAATATTAACAGCTTCACTAATGTTTAACTTTGTAATACACTGTAAGAGTTTGGAAGTCAATACCCTAGGTAAGTAAGCAAGATGATCAACATTCTCCAATCTTGCCCCACCTCCCTCCCTAATGAACTCCCCACACCCACTCCTCAAGACTTTGAACAAGAGACAAATCCTTCTTACTGCTCTAAATCAATGGTTCCCAAAGTGTCATCCCCAGACTGGCAGCATTTGCATCACCTGAGCACTTGGTAGGAATGCAAATTCTTAGGACTCGTCCCAGACCAACTCTATCAAAACTGTGGGTATGGAGTACAGCAATGTGGGTTCTCAGCAACCCTCCAAATGATTCTGAAGCATGCTAAAGATTCAACCACTGCTCTAAATAAACAAGTTATCTTTTTTTTTAATTGAACGTAATTGATTGTATATATATCTGTGGAGTACAGCGTTAAATATCAATATCCATGTGCAATATGTGATGCTCAAATCAGTATAATTAGTATATTCAACATTACAACTTAACACAATGTAACCATTTTATGTGGCCCCTTACCAATTTCTAGCTATAACAGGATGTGTTCTAGTTGCAATCTGAGTTGAAAAAAGCACATATAAATGGGAGTAGCCAGAGGGGTAATTCTAATAACCACCCTCCTCCAAACTACTGCTCTAAGCTATATATCTCAAACAAATTATTAAATTAGCATGCTCGCCAAATGAACACACACAAAAAGATCATACTTGGCTTTTTCTCTGAATCCTCACTTACACTATCAAATAAATAATTTTGTTTTGGAAACTCACTGTTTAATCAACCTTTTCCAGAAACATATTACCCAAATCAAAGAAGAGAAGGACAAAAGCCAAAAGAGATTACAAACCAGATTATATGTGGGAATCAGAAATTCGTGTGTGGCATTTTAGCAAACCCAGGAAACTGTTACAACACAGGACCCTAATAACGTTCTACTGTGTATATTTTGCACCTAACACTCAATAAGACACATTATCAGAATAAATAAGTGCTTTCTATCTAGAGTTTTGGCCTATAATGTAAACTCATTATATTGTAATCCTGACTGAGTTGGGGTACTAGAGGAAAATGTCACCTTGTACCAAAAAGGTGAAATACAAAGGTACACTATGTTCCTTCTTGGGAAGGTGGCGATTCATTCACTCACAGCTACCCCTAGTAGGCCTATTCCATCTAAAATACAGGGCATACAAATGTCTTGTGATTGTTCTTGGTCCAGAGAAACTGTTCTTTTTAAGTTTGATTTTAAAAAGAAGAGAACCAGTCTCAAGTGCATAATTATAATTAATTCCCATATCACTGTTTTCTGGCTATGAGAAAAAGAAAGCTTTGGAGAATCACATTTTCAAGCAGTTTCACACAATCAAATGCACTTTCATTTTCAAAGTACCCACTTGGCAGGTACATACTGTTTCTATAAAAATTAATTAATTACATAGTGTACTAAGTTTGAAAATCATTGTTATTCTTTAGCATACATGTAATGATTCATAAAGTCCTCTGCAATTATATCTATTAGATACAGTAAAAAAGGAGGGAGGAGAAAGTAAGCACAGGAAGAGAATGATATTTAAATGTGTACATGATAGATAAAAAATGTAAATATGTATGTAATACAATGACACCTAAATTCCCCCTTCACCTCATACCTCCATAATGAGCCAAGAGAAAACCTAGGGACAAACTAAAACAAAGATCCATGGCCTATGAAATAAACTGGGTTTTGTAATCTTAGTAACAACTAAATAACATTTTAGCATTAAAAATAACTAGGGTAGCTTACATATAACACACATATAAGTGAATCTGAGTGTTTATGTCAGAAAATTTGGAGGTATGGGTCTGATTTGCACTGCTTGGGACCATAAAACTAATAGTAAATGTAGTTTTAGAATACTGCATGTTAACGTGTTCTGTACCTTAAAGACCCACTGATATTCCTACCCCCACACCTTTGCTGACATAACAAATCTACCAAAAGATGTCTATATCCAAGATTAAGGGTCAACCAATCTTTTTGAGTACTAGGTACTTTAACTTACATTATCTTATTTAATCCTCATATCAACACTGTGAGGC